GGACACATTTAGAATACAGATGGCTTGAATAGTCCCAGCATTCAAATGCCGAGGCCATGCTAAACTCACTTAAATATTTCTTCACTGAGGTCAGGGGCTCGGTTGGTTGGCCAGAATTAAATATCTCAGTGAAACATGTATCAGATGTTCCAAAACCTTGAAAGATTAGCACAGCTTTCCACAAGCTGGAACCCTCCAGATATGTTAGACTATATTTCCTATATTCTTTAGAAAGGATTTTTTTTAATTTGTTGGATGAAGGCTGAAGGAATTTATAGTGTGCCATTTTTGGAAGATCTAGACTGGGGAAGCTGGGCTAGATGTTAGAATGGACTCTGATTATATGCAAGAACATAATAAACTTTCAAACTTCATAGAATTATTCAATAAGTCTGGGAATTAGTGCATCTTTTGTATATATTTTTTCTTGAACTAATTAGTCATTTGACCAATCAAGCTTCATTTTGAAGATAAATTTACTTACTGCCCATTATTGATGTGCTCTTACAATATTTTCTCAAACTTAATAAATACCTGGAGTGTGGAAAACCTGACTTACATTTGCAAACTTCATGTTCCACAATGAGGAATTGAAACTTAACAGAAGAATTAGCTCAGAGTGAATCAGACAATATTGATTAATTACAGTGCTTCCGAATCCTATTTTTCCTCCAGAGACTTTGAGGCAAACTGAGATCGCTACTTCCCCATTTTACAATTTATGATTCAGTGAGGTGAATTTGTGTAATGTCTTCTGTTCACCACACTGAAAATGCACTGATTTTGTTCTAGTATAATCAACTGTAAAAATAAAAAATAAAAATCTTCCTTTAGCTATTCTGAAATTTAATTTCCACAATGAACTGTCTTCCTCAAGTGGTGGATCACAAATCCCATCACTCCTATCAGCATGGCCAGAGATGACAGGATTAATTTTCCAACACATCTGGAGGACATCAGTTCAATCAACATTGTTGGGGAGGCTGATCTTCATCCCTTCCTGTCATATTTAAACAAGGTCAAAGCCTAATAGTATCATTTCTGTAATTTCCTCTGCTGTGTCAGTGAATCCATATGGTCAGATATGTGAAGCTGGCTGGCTCCATTCTAAGAAATGGTCTAGGGTCCCTGTTATGTGAGAAGAGGCATTTCTCTCCCCACCCATTTGAATTCAGACTCCCGAAGTATTCATACCAATTGCCTTTATTTTTATGGATAGCTTGGAAATGTTTCTCAGCCTTGAACTAAGAAGTTCTGGCAGTCCTGGAAAGAGCTGGAGGATACAATTCCACATACAGAGGTCCTTGAAATGATCTTTCTGCTCTTAGCAACTGGAGGATTAGATTTTTCAGAAAGGAAAAGTGAAGGGCAGCTGGAGGAGAGGAAGGAATTAAAAGTGGGAGAAAGAGGGGAAAAAACCCAGAGAAAGAAAAATGAAAGAAAAGGTAGGGAACGATATTACCAATATGCGTTGAAAGAGAAAACAGTGCAGAATGCGTTTAGGGATATATATTTCCTGTACTGAGCACTGAGAGAAATATCAGTGAAAAGAAATCATCTATATAATGTGAAAGAAAAACTAAACAAAACAAGATTAGAGTTTCTTTATCTATTCTAAATGAAAGGTGCAGAAGGAGTTGCATGAGTCTGGCCTGACTCCACCAATGCAGAGTCAGATGAAGTTGAATCCCAGGCAACCCCCATAGATGGTCGAGGCAGGCGTTCCTTTTTCAGTCTATTGGGAGAAACATCCATCTGTTTTGTACTAAAATAAGCAGTTTTGAATGTGGCTCCATTGACTCAAATAGGGGCTGTTCCTGAGAAAAATATGATTCAGAGGTTGTATGTACAGGTTCATTCATGACTAGAATTTAGAGATGCTTTTCATCACAAACTTGATCTAGTTTCTGATAACTTGGCTAATACAAAACAGTGAACAGAGGGATCCACTGAGAATCCAGGGATGGGTGATGTATCAGCTGAAGAAGTGCCCCGTTTTGTTCTATCTGTTGTCTCTTTAGGTAGATTTTTCTGCAAAACCTCACTGCAATTAACACACTTATTGAAACCTAAGAGTGTGCTTAGCACAAGTGCATTTGAATGCCTAGTTTATATTTTTAGAGGGTTTGAATTTGAACTTTTCATCTTTTGATACTGATTTTTTCCCCTGGTGTAAGGGCAGATTGCAAGTTCAGGTTACTATCTTACATGCTTATCTGGGAGTAAGTCTCCCAGAACTTAGTAGGGTTTCTGACAAGCAGCATCCTAAATTGCACTAGTTGGAGTAAACAGATCTCATTATTAACCTAAAATGTCTTGCATTCACTGCAACACATTTAACACAGTTACCCTTCAAAACTTCATATTGCTACAGCCAGCTAATAAAGAACTATAATTTACATAAAAACTAATGGGGTGTGCTATAAGCTGTATAGCAAAGCAGTAAGCTATTCACTACTAAGATGAACAGAGGGTTTTAGTTATTTTATTACTGAAATGTTGTCTTGTAAAGAACTTCTGTTTGAAAAGAGGTGTATAAACCCAGTGAAGAAATAGAAACTAATAAAGAAGACCAAGAAGGAAAGTAGATCGCAATGCCTTCTTGGTCTTTGGGGCTGAGAAAATTTTGGCAAACAGTACAGCTTTATCTTCTGTACCCTAAAATTTGTCAGACAGTGTCTTTAATGGAGTTTGTTGTTAGATAACTATGGATGTGACTGAGCTTTAAGTTTGTTGACTTGAAACCAATGAAGAGAAGCTCTAGAGAAGAAAGGCATTTATCCCAACTTCTCCCTTCTTTAGAAGATGGTGGTAGTTGAAACTCATCAGCTCAAAAATAGGGGAGGGAAACCACAGATAGTGAAACATGCAACATTTTCTATAACAATTAGTTCGGACAGTAAAGACGATTTTTGATCATGGAAGGGAACGTGTCCAAGTGAAGATCCTAGTTAATCGGATGATTAATAAAACTAAATGCAATGGAAGTCGGGGGTGGGGGGGAATGCTGTACGACCTCCACGGACCCCCTTCTTATAGTAGACGCCGCTCATTCTGGCTGGGAAGTGCGTGGAGGCCTGATTGCACCACCCTAAGCATTACTCCGAGCAACTCAATCCTAAACCTTCTCCAGATCGGATCCCCTCGAGAATTTAGAGCGCGAACTAGTAAAGCCTTCGACACCACCGCCACTTCTAGTAAGCCCACCCGCGACTTATGATGCAGTCTGAGGACCACTCAGAATTTACCATCTAACTTTCTGACTTGAACTGAAGTCCCGTGGAGGGCAAGCGGCTTCGCTTCCGATTCCGTGGGCAGCAATTCAAAGGGAGCAAGCCGGCTCTGAGTGAAGAGAGGCAGAAACCACGGACCAACTTCCAAGCCGGATCCTATGCCTGTTTATTCGACGGCAGCAAGCCTTGAGGAAGGAAAAAAGTGTCAGGGGGAGCGAGGAGAAGGAACAAGGGCGATCTCCGGCTGAACGAGCCTTTCCCACGCTTTAGATTTTGGAAAGGAGTAACAGAATAGTTCCCTTTATAATTCAACGGAAAGAAGAGCAGGCTTTATTTGGGCGGAGGGGGGGGAAACTGCGTGGCTTTCAATAACACCTGATCGGAAGTCTTCCAATTCTCTTTTCCTCCTTCTTACCCTTCGAGCAGGAAATCGGTTTCGCTCCTAAAGGGTCTTGATGTACCCTACTTCTCTTTGTCCTTCTTGAGTCAATATTTTGGCGATACATGCAAGGTTTCTTGCCCAGTCCCTCTGTGCGCGGAATAACACTGACACCGGCCCTCTTCTCTTTCAAAGGCGACAAGCCGCGTTAAACCGTCTGAAACGTTAACACCGATCAAACCGTGCCAACAAGCCGGGAGCGGGGAGAAGCCGGAGCAGCGGAAGAGGCCTAACGCAAACCTGGATTTGAATGGCGGGGTCGCCCTGCCTTTTCCTATTTATATATAATGTATTTTATCATATATAAAGGAAAAAAAGATGAAACGTAGCTTTAATTATATATATTTCATCCTTTTTTTTTCAACGGAGAAAATCATCACCCCGGTACTAAATCACCCCTCCCCCCCGGCCGTTGATCCCGGAGGGAGGAATATAAATTCGCTTTAAGATTGCGCGCGTCTCGCCTGCCTTCGCTTGGGAAGAAACCGAGTTCCCGCGGTTGTTTCCAGCCGGTCCGGCTTCCCGAAGAAACAGTGCAAACGGCTTTTCCTGCGTCCTCAACAACCTCCCCTGTCTCCTTGGAAGGCAGACCCAGAGAACTCTGTTAAACGTTCCAAACGAGGAGTCTTTCTTTCTTTCTTTCTTTCTTTCTTTCTTTCTTTCTTTCTTTCTTTCTTTCTTTCTTTCTTTCTTTCTTTCTTTCTTTCCTTCCTTCCTTCCTTCCTTCCTTCCTTCCTTCCCTCTCTCTCTCTCTCTCTCTCTCTCTCTCTCTTTCTTTCTTTCTTTCTTTCTCCCTTTCTCGTTAATTCCTTTTCTTGTCAGAATTTCACTCCTTTCGAATGCGGGTGGGGATGAGAGAGAGACGTGTTTCCACATCTTTTTCGTACAGATATTCTCTCCGTTCATTACAAGACCTTTTTAAAACACATAGCCACCATGGACCAGATGTAGAATATTATTTCTTTTCCTGATGCATTTTTTTAAAGAAATCTTATTATTAAAAAGGAAGAAGAAGAAAAGGTCTGCTAAAAATATAATTTTAAAATAGAAATTGTAAAGGAAGTTTTGCATTGGGGAAGGACAAAAGGATTTTGTATTGGTTTCTTATTATTACACTGAAATATAAAATATAGAATACATGTTTTATATATGTGCCTAGAAACTACCAAGTGTCTTTAATTGAATAAAAGATATATCTAAATGCAAGAACAAACATGAAACTGTTTATTTTTTTATCGAGTGACAGCTAATAATCTTTTTTTCCTTATCAGAAAATGTATATTCTTATAGAAGTAAAACATACATAGTGGTTCCAAACTCTTACGTACCTGGGAATGAGTCCCATTGAATTCAATGGTTTTACTTTTGACATGCATCTCTATGAGAAAAAAAGAGCCATATTGATAACATTGTTCAGTGATATGAATTCGGTTGAAGCCTAAAGTCAATTACTAGGTGGGGAGTGGGTATTAGTTAATAATGTACGTTTAACAACAAAAATATTTCTGTGGTGGAAATAGCTTTATAGGCTGTAATCTGATCTGCATTTACGGCAAAATCTTTCATTTGGTCAGTAGAATTAACTTGCAAACAATATTCAAATGGGCAGACTGGGTTTAAAAAACAAACCCACAATTATATACTTTTAGAAACGTCCACCATGCATTCCTGGTGTACATGTGTATGACTATTTTATACTTTTTCTACGACAATCTCGCCTTTTAATTTAAGAAGAATCTGAGGAAAACAATTGCCATTTCTTCACACAGTTTAAGCAATCTTATAACTGAGAGGAAATCCACCCATTTCCCGGGTGTTAGAAGCCCTGCTCAGTTACCTTGGATCAATTTGCGACGCTGAGATTCGGTCGCGGTTTCGACACTTCGTTCTGCCAAGAGCCTCCTGAAAAGAAAAATATATGTAGAAAAATCCCCCTCGAATGTGGAAAGCGGCACGTCGAATTAATCCGAGATTTTTTCCATTCTTCGTGGCTGTTAACAAAAGTCTGCCTCAATATCTCCGCAGACTCTTTCTCTCTCTCTCTCTCTTGCTCTCTCTGCCTGTTTATCTCAAAAAGATTGTAACACGGGGTGGGTTTTTTTCTACACATGTTAACTTCATAAATAACAGGCACCGACCATCCCTATCACCAAGCGCGCTGTTCCACCTATTAAAAGCTTTTTAAAATATTCTGCGCGCCCTGATACTGTTACAGTAAAGGACCGCAGCCCCAAGAAACAACAGAGATATTAATTCTTCTCTCCAACTGCAATTTCCTCAAAAAACAAAAACTAAAACCCACCACTCTATGTTGTTGGTAATAAATTTGCAAATGACAACTGCAAAAATAAACACGATTTCCATAGGGTCATAGGAAATGCAGCAAATACAAGAGAAATACGTTTTTTTTAAAAAAAAACAAAACAAAACCCAGAAGTAGACATTCTTAATTATTTCCATTTTATATGCTGGTAAATTAAGGCTAAGGATGACTATTCTAAACCTGCCTGGATGGTCTCATATTTGAACTCAGAACTGAGACTCAAGTGGAGTAACTGGATTCACCTGATTGTTTTTGCATCTTTTCCTTTGGAATGGTTTTAAGCTTTTCATCCACTACAGACAAATGCTTGTGTGTTTATAGTTGTATGTATGTGTGCACATACAAATAATTTTTGTTTGAAGGAGTAAAACAAATAATATAGAAAAGGAATTTATGGAAAATATATTACTAAAATAGGAGAAGGAAGGAGCATTAGCTATGCTCACCACCTTGAGTTATTTATAAAAATATTAAAGGTGGGATAAAAACATCCCAAATAAAATATGGATCATGTGTGGAATGTTTGTATGTAATGTGCAAAATATCATTTATATTTAATTTTAATTTGATGAATTTCTGGATCTCAGTCCTAAATCCCTCTCTCGCAAGTCAATCCAATTTGTTTCAGAAGGAACTACTTTTGGGTAGGAAGATAATGATACTGTATACAATGAATAGATTAGTTTTGTCCAAATACAAACCATGCCATTCAGCCTAAGTTATGCACTTTTAAGAACCTTCAACTTCAAAGGAGAATTAAAAGCCGTCTAGACCACCTATGTCCTCCCATTTAAATTAATCAATTTACAAAGTCTTTTACTTGGACTCCTGATGATGAGAACATGAATTGATCAGCATACAGCATCCAGAAATGAATGATAGTGACACAGAGAGAACCCTGCTTAATGTGCAGGTCAATGTTGTATGTATGTATTTATTTAGAAGTATGTCTGGGGCTCCGTACCCAGTACACTATGCAAAGACATTGCAGACTTAAACTCTGCTCTTAAATACATCTCCATTTAGATAAGAACCTCTGGCCACATTAAGTAAAGTCCAGATACTATGCTCCTTACATAAACATACCTAATAATACTTGGCAGTTCTATCATGTTTTATAAGGGTTTCAAGCACTCGTATGCATCAACTGAGTCATCCTCACGAGAAGTCATGTTGCAGTGGGAGGGAGGGCTGTGAAACTGGTGATGCCTTGCCCAAGACCACCTCTCTGGCCTGCAGCAGAGGCAAATCAGAGACCAGACATTTCCACAACTTTTCCAGTCTTGTACAACAGCTTGAGAGGAAACCCCATTAAACTCAAGGGTGGTTTGAGAAAGGTTATCTAGGAACAGCAAAAACATCTTACAACCAAAAGCAACTTAAACAGCTAATCTTTCTGTTTCATTTCACTTTTCATGTAAGTTTTTATTTAAATAAACCATGCATCAATCAAAAGGCACTAAGGCAAATATTTAAAAAAAACACATTATTTTAAGATATGAACTTTGAAACAGACATATTCAAATTTCAGACCAAAAGATGGAGGTAATCTGTTAAGAACTGCTTTGTTAATGCAAATAAAAAGAAGTATGTAAAACATTCTGATTAAAGAAAATAATAAGATGTAAAATATTTTGATTAATGATTTTGCATGGCCACTGACCAACAATTCATTATTAGCAGCTGAATATTAAACTTTGTTAATAGCTACATCTGATCTTCTTTTCCAATAGTTTTGTGTAAGCTGATACATCATTCACGTCCACATTTTTTTATCTCCACAACTTTGTGGGATAGACTAAGGAGAAATACAGGCTAAATTTCAACAACATGTTAGATTAAAATAAAATGGGTGATTTAGATTCAGAAGCAAAAAGATGTTATAGACTGCAAGGGACCACATGACTTTTGCAATTTTTTGTTTGTTTGCTTCCAAATCAATGCTTAACCTTGTAGTTGATGGATTAAGTAGGTTGTGAAAATCTAATCATTGTCTCAACATATCAAGTGAACCAGGAATCACTATATGGTTATTTGAGCATTCTATATGAACAGTATGCAGTATGCAGCAGTATGTAGCAACTATATTGTAATAATCCAGGTTCAAGATTTTTTGTGCTGTATGAATGAAATCTATGACTGGCCCAAAATGATCATTGATTGGCAGGAGACATTACTTTGGGCCCTCAAATCTTAGTTACAGAAATTGGCTATTGCACATTGATTTGGAAATGAAATATTTGGGGTTTACTGTTGAACAGGATTTTAAAAAATCACTCATTTATTGTGTTCATGTATGTCACAAAAGGCTAAAATGAAGAGATTATTTGAGATTTGTTATAGGAGTCCAAGTATTATCTTAACATTTTGTGTGAACCAGGACATCACGTTATGTCACATTCAGGTTTATTTGTTTATGTGAGCGAGTATGATACCACAGCAAATATTTTTGTTAACTGGGATTAATGCTTAGTACATTGTGTGGCCTCAGCCACTGCTTTTGTGCTTTTGTATGTCAGTTGTTCCAATTGCATATGTTTTGTATTATAAAGGCTGAGTTTTGTTTCTGATTCATATAGAAATTCAATTCACATAGGAATATCTTCAGTACGGGGCTGACCCTCCACCATTCCCTAATTCCATGTTAGTGCAGTATAATGGATCATGTTTGGTGAAGGCTGCACTAGAGGTCAATGCAACATATGGATGTTTTATTCTCTATAGGTTCATTCTTTTTTCTTCTTTCTTTGACATGCACATTATATAAAACCTTTCCTTATCTGGTACCAACTTTTGCAAGAGGACAACCTATATCATATTCATTGATCACTCAGTACAGTAGAGTACATGTCATTATCATAAATAGATTATATTATTCCCACAAAAATCCTTCCCTTTTAATTCCTGCTGCCTTTATTTCCTACTCTTTTCTCTTTTGCTTTGGTTGTAATTTTAGATTGTAAGCTCTTTGGGACAGGAAAAAGTACTGTTCTGGTACTTGTGAACTAGATAGGGCTGTCAAAATTGTTTGCTTTATTTATTTATTTATTTAGATGGAGTTTCTGCCTGACTCCAGAAGGATTCTGGGTAGCTGACAATATCAAACAAACAAGATAAAAAACACAATACATTATAAATAAACAAGATAGCTTCCATCCGAACAATGCATTCAATGTACAAAGACTTATCTAAGGGGGTGGTGGGGGGAATGTGCCCTACCCCAAGGTCTGGGAGAAATATGTACATTTCTTGACTATACATTATGTGAACACTAAGCAGTAACTTTTCGTTGTCAGGGCACAGGAACTAATAAACCACTAGCAGTATATGAATTTTAGTAGTGGATAGATATATGTGGATTTTTGTCTCTTTTACTCTGCATAATTCCTTCCACAGATAATAACTTTTTCAGAAAGTGAAAATGGTGCTGGTAATTGTCTGTCTGTCTGCCTATCCATCCATCCATCCATCCATCCATGGTAGATCCTAGGCTAAAGAAAAAGGAGATCTGGACTATGCAGAATGTTGGTATAGGATTGCCAGGAAATCCACTGGATGACTTTGGATTAGGTATGACTGTCTTGAAACAGTCATGATAGATGTTACTTCTCTCTTAGCAATTTTAAATCCAGGAGTAGGCAACTCACATGTGCAACATAGTCCATTCCACTTTGCATCCCCGCCATTAAAATGTTGCTCCTTCCTATTTTGATTAAAATAGCTGAAATGTTGCTTTATTTTATTTTTGTGCTTGCCTTGCAGATTTTGATATATTAATCCCAAAGGCTTTCTTTAAATTAACTGACTTTTTACTATTCAGTATTATTTTCACTATTATTTTTAATAGGGAGAACAAATCAACAGTTTTATTGAGGCTGAAAGTCTCTACTTTACCTTCAGCAGGATATAAAGGTAATAATGAAATAAAGTAAAATAAATGAATATTACTATACCCAATAGATGTTATCAAACCAATTTTTCTAACGCTCATCACAAACTCTGCATTCTTTTAAAATCTGGGACAAGGACATATATTTTCTACATATGACAAGCCAATGCATATGGACTCCTTTCTACTATGGAAAGAAGCTGTCCATTTGAATGAGGAAGCAACATTTTCTTCAGCCTTTTAGGGAAATGGAATGGAATTGAATTGAATTGAATTGGAAATAGGCTGATCACATAGCAAGAAGAACTGATGGCAGATGGACCAAGGTAATCATAGAATGGATCCTGCTTGATAAAAAGTGTCCACAAAAGAGACCTAAAACAAGAGGGATCAACAGCACCAGCAAATTGTGGGCCCAATTGGCGAAAGAAAGTTCAGGACCATATTAGTTGGAAACATGAGGAAGAGGCGTTCATCCTATAGTAGATAGACAATGGCTAGAATGATGATGATTCAGAGAGCACAACCACCATCCCGCTTTTATTATGTGCAACATGTTCTTCAAGTCACCATGCTAAAATGACACATATTTTTAATCTTAGCAACCAAATTAGCAACCAACATCTTTCAGTTGAGTGGAATCCCCAAAGCAAGAAATCCAGGGCAAATTGAGCAAGAATGTGTGGGTTGCTAGCTGACCCTTGGATCTCAGAGTCAACAGAGGGGAGAGAAAATGCCATGGAGGATCTTGGAAAGGGCTTAAAAGGCTAGCTCACAAATATGATGCATTGCTACATGCTGTGATGAATTGTCAGAGCATTTGATTTCATGAATAAAAACAAATTGTCCCAAAAGTTCTGGCAAAATAAATTAGGAATAAAGAGGAATTTTGAGGGATGTGGGAATAGCAAACATGTGGAACAAAGACATTCAGCAGCCTGGACATAGTCCTGGGACATCTTTGCTACACGAATGCTAGGTTCTGATGTATCCTCAGCCTGAGTATTTTGGTTGGGAAGTCTGTCTGTTTCTATAAGCTCATCTGCCTCAAATAATCCAATTCCTCTGGATTCTCTCCTGCTTGGAAGTTCCAAATTCATTAAATTTGTGAGTAGCATGACTGATTCTGATGTACTCATTGACTAAGCGCACTTTATGTTTAAACCAATCATCATGGCCAAGGCCAGCCTGAGACCAAATGGCGCCCCAGCACAAAGGGTCTTTGGTAGTTCCCTTTCCATTTGTTCATTGTTTGTATAACTTGTTTATTTAATTTCATTTGTCATCCCTTGCACAACTTTGATGTGTCCCTGATTAGTTACATGCACACTTTTGGTGATAGGGCATCCGTTTTGCACGTCTTGTGCTTCATAAAGTTAATTTTAAAAGAAAAGAAAAAGAGCAACAATGCCAATCTCAACAACCACAAAAAAGATGTTAGTTTGGGACACTGAACAGAAAATTGAAAGCTAATGCTAATCCCACTTCCCTTAAACATGGCACATTCCAACTCCAATTATCCAGTTTTTGCTGAGAACCTTTGCTCTTACATGCAACCCTAATGACTGAACATAATTAATTGTTCGGTTATGTTAAATTAGGAGATGAGATATTAATGTTGAAATGAAATGCTCTTAGGGAACACTTAGGGCTATCAGATCTGTGTTGCAAAAATCCAGATAATCTTAGGAGGCAGCAAAGAGGTCAAGAAAACTCTATGCAACCATCTAGTAACCATTTGGAATTTTACAGCCCAGTTTTTACAGTCCTAGAAGCCTTACCTAATGAACTATTGACACATGTCAATGTGTGTCAGTTGTTGATAGAAATAGATTTGCTTACCAGTGTAAAGGTCTATTGGAATATAAGTGAGCATGTCAGTGGAAAAAAGTAAAGACCCTGCATCCTTCTGCATGAGTGCATATATTATTACAGATATGGATTTAGGGATCTTTCCAAACTTTCCTGTCACACAAAATGGCTATTTTGTTTTAATGTATTTATCCATTTACAGTATTTGTAGAATGTCTTAGTAATGGGACTCTGGGTTGTGAACAATAAAGTAGAAAAAAGGCAAAGACCAAATTAAAGAAAACAAGACAGAGATATGCATATCATGATGGAAGACACACAATCAGTCAGTTAGGGCCAAAGGCACAATGGAAAACAATATGTTAAATAATTTGCATAATGTACCTGGGGGGGGGTCATTTCCAGGCTGGGGGCATGTTTCTAAGGAGGCTGATACCTGACCCAAATCTGATGTACTGTGTTTGAAGGAAGGAGGCTTAGAAGGCACACATAAATGTTCAGACTAGGTGGCCAGAAATGATTTTGACCAGATAGCTATTACTTGTTTTCTTACAGCAGCCTATGCTGCCCATTGCAAAATGGCTAATTGCCAGTTGATTCCTCTCCCAGCTTGCTGAACCAAGCTCAACTTGAAGAGATGAAGTACAGCTTTATGGGTAATGGGGTCCATATTTATAAGCCTGTGTCTTAGGGCAAAATGTTTTCACATTTGGTGGAGTTGTAATGGAGACAAAACAGTAACACGGAAAATCTGCAAGGATCTGTTAGATGAGTTTCAAAAGTTGAAAGATGTGGCTATTCCAGAATTCCTCAAGTAACTTTCCTGAGAAATGTTGGATTACAATTTCCATCTCCTTCAACCATCATTACTAATGATATAAAACTTCAGAAGTCTAGTCTATTCTAATGACATTTTCTCCTAACAAAAACAATGAAATGAAGATACTTAGGAGCACTGAGTGATCTACAGTACCCAAAGAGAATGTCTTCCATCCTGAATTCCATCATTGATGATTACATCTCCTTAATGTCCTTTCTGATCAGACATATTCCATAACCTCATTTAAAAGAAAAAAAGATCATTGTATGCAACCAGCTGTGTGGAATGAAGTAATACAAATAAATTGTAATATATGGCTTTATTTTTTCCATAGCACAGAAAGAACCTTTTGGAAAGCCATAGCTTGCATCCTCTTTGAGTAGAGTGTCAAACAAGGCTACAAGTGGCTCCTAATTTGGTTGGGACTCTTAAGGCAACTCCAGAAATGTCATTAATTAACGTGACAGATATAGAACATTAATAAATGCATATGAAATAGTCAGCTTAGTTGTATGGAGGAAGCATACCAATTTTAGAATTATATTTAATTAAATTATATTCAAATTAGTTTTTCTTCTGCCACATCTACTTTTTGGATCAAAATGTTCATGCTGTTCAAAGGCTACATATTCCTGCCCCTGAAGATAATCTGCTACTAGAAGTATCCTGGTGGGCACAAGGTCAGAGCTAGTGATGGGTGGGATCAGAGCAATAAATTAAGGAGGTCATTCCTCCCTTTTCTTTCTCCCTCTTTCTTTCTCCCATGCTTACTATCCCTTCTTTCTCAAAGTCTCCTTTTTTCTGCTACCACTACCCTCTCTGGCTGGGTTTGCATACAATCTAGGCTAAAAAAAGGTTGACTAATTTGTGGTTTAGTGCATTGTACTGACCCACAAAGTAAATCATGGTTTATTTAATGAGTGAAGGAATATGACCCTCTCTTCCTCTTCCTCTGTCTTTCTCTCTATCCAATCTTTTGCCAAGCAATAGAGAGAACCCTCTTACTAAAGTTTTTCATTGACCACTTGTGAAAGTCAATGTCACAAAATCACTGAGTCATGGCACTTAAGATGGCATGGCACTTAAGATCTTCTTTATATTACACTGATCACTTAATATGGTACCTATTATAACCACTAGGTTTATTGTCCCCCTTATATTTATTATCGCTTTGTTTTTTCTCTTTTACATTTTTGAATCTCTCTTCTTCCTTGACCCAAACTGACCATCTGGAATGTTACTAAACAAAGAAATAGGCTCCAGTGCCTTCTTTTCTAAGAATGTCATTGGGCTCATATGAACCCTAAACAATAGTAGCTGGATGCCACGGCAGTAAGTCAGACAGGAGAGTCTCCAACTACCCAGAGAAAAAGAAAAAGGTGATGCCAGAAGGCCAGCTCCTGATAAGGGTCTGTTTTGCCTGTAAGGATGGGTATCTTTCGCCTGGTGAGTTTTAATGTTGCGTCTGCCTGTGAATCTCACCAAATTGTTTTGGAATTGTCTTTGATACAGATATGGGACTTTTGCATCCTTGAAAATGGCTTTCTTGCAGCTGGCACTTTGCAATCAGTAGGCAAACCTCCTCATGGCAGCCATTTTTTGAGATGTTTTTGACAATTTCACAACATTTTAAAGAAGTCCTTTGGCTCAGAATAATTGCAGTCCCACATACCAACTTTTCTCTAAATGTCATCTAAAATCTGACCTCCACCATTTTGCCTGTTACCTCCTGCTTTGTAGCAGTGGGTTCCAGAAGTTGTTTATAGCTCGGATCCAAATTTTATAGAACAGAATTTGCATAAAACTTCAGTTTGTTGATTAATTTATTGAATATATTTTGAGCATTTACATTTTGCAGGACAATCAATCAGGATCCAGGTTATGTTCACAGAACATGGTGTTAAAACAAAACAAAAACAAAAACACTACCAGTACTCACACAGAATACTACATTTGGTTAGTTTTAAAAAGTAATGTTTACCTAGCAGGCAATGTATAACATTTATGGTGAGTCTGTACAACGAGTTAAATTTGACTCATTGCTTGCAGTTTTCTCTTTATGGAAGCAGATGTAATTCCTCCTCCAGTTATCTCCTAATTAAAATCTCTATCTTTATGCTACTCATGTTAATAAATAAAGTGAGGTCCCAATTTGATGTTCTTCAGATGTTTCTGACTACAGTATATTTTCCATCATTCTTGATCCTTGGCCATGATAACTGGGCTGATGGGAATCATAATTAAAAATGGAAGGCACCAGGTTGGAGATGAATTAGAAGCTTTCTAACCAAGCTGCCCTTCCAGAGATAGCCTCCATCCAGAAGCAGAGATAAACCATACCAACCAAACTTATCTGATTGACTCAAGGAAGAGAGACCAAGGTCTATTCTTCAAGGATAGCTAGTGTAGGTAGTATTGCAGCACAGAACAATTAAATTGAGCTGACTTTGGGAGTTCTATGTTCAGCTTCCCTCAGTCATGTAACTTAGTGATTGAATTCTTAGTGTAATATCCTGTAAATCCAAATTAATAAAATATGCCCACCTACTGTATGCCACATACACACCATGGTTTACATACAATGGCTGAATGAAATTAGCCTAGTTCATTTCTCAGAATATGCTGGACCTCAAAATTATCAATTCCATTTCAGCCCAGTGTGACCCATTGTATGAATGTGATTAGTGAGTGAATCTGAGCCACCAGAGAGTTTCCATGAATAGAGGAGTTTCCTTCTTTCTTAAGTTCACCTTCCCATTCACAAATTGGAGAATGCAAATGGAGAGAAAGCAGAGCTGGGGGAATGCGGGGACAGAATGCTTTCATTTTTTTTTCTGACATAAGGAAAGCAATTACCAAAGCGAATTCAGAGTGTTGGCTGAAGCTGAGAAGGTGCAACTTCAAATCCCCCCACCTAGTCTTGAACCCCGCCAGTTGATTCTCAACTCAGTAGTCATTTCTTGTGGTAGTGAATATTATCTTGGGGGAAGGTAGGGATTGCAGCCACCAAAGCAATTGTGCAAAGTGGATTGGATCATATCACACTCCTAGCTGGATCAGGATTTTCAACAGGAGGAGAAGGGGATTTTTGTTTTGGTGACCATTAAATGTTTCTGACCTCAGAATAGTGGAAGCTGGTTTAGGCAGTTGGAGATTGAGGAGGCTGTACAAAAAAAGTTTAGGAGCTGCTTCATAGGGTTGCAGAAGGAATTAAATGAGAGGAAAGTTATGGATAGGCTGCTTTCAGAGCTTTGAAGGAAAGCCTGAAATATAAACAGAAGACAAGTTACTAACTTAAAGGGAGCCCTGTATGTTGTATCATCCAATCTTACTCCTCCTCTTTGATGCAGCATTTCCAAAACCGGCTATCCTGTCAGTGTGAAAACTCCAGCAAGAGAGAATTGACCATTGCCTTGTTAAACTGGACCTATTACAAAATTCCTGTTCTGAAGTTTCTCAGAACACTTCACCTAAATTTACTTTCCTTCCTTCCTTTAAATCCAGCAGTTCTATATGTCCAAATACATTTGCAAAATGGAGTTCGCTCCCGTGCACTTCTACCCACTTGATCATTTGATCACATGGATGAGTTTCTCCGCAACAGTAAGTCACCTGACCAAAACCTACAGTGATTTGAATTGCCCCTAAGTGCAGCCCTGTTTTGTAGAGCCTGCAGCTGTCAGTCTTCTAGTTGTGGACGTTCCTGCTCTTTCATCCTTCTCAGTAAATGAATCAGAAAAGGATTCCAGAGGGAAATCTGCATAGCAGCAGAACAACTCACTGCTAAAGATAGGTAACAACACCCCTGACGTGGAAGCAATAAAAGGTATGCATGGGATAATTAAGGGAAGGACCTCTCTTTCTGTAAGGCCTCCTGCTGCTCCTCTGACACGGAGCCTACTACCGACTACAGGCTGGGATACGGTGGCAGTGATGATGGCACTTGAGAAACACATCTGGAGGGTACCAAATCAGCAAAGGAAGCTGAGGCAGAAATAGTTAAAGCCCTACTCCTGTTGTTTGGGGGTATAAGTTGAAGCTGGGTTTCGCCCACTCTGAGCTTACAGCTGCACCTAGTTGCCCACAAACGTGCGTACCTAAGTTCTCTCTCTCTCTCTCTCTCTCTCTCTCTCGCTCTCCCTCTCTCTCCCCCCCAACATACCGTGCCTGTCTATACGCGTGTGCGTGTATGTATATGTGTATGTATACGTATATATCCCCCCACAGGAATGAAGCTTGGCGCCGGCTGATGGTGCAACAGATACCCTCGTTCCCCCCCTCCCCCGCAGCTCATCCCGTCCCTCGCCACGTGGTGTGGAGAGGCCAGTCACCAGGGTGGAGACAAGAAAGGAAGAGTTAGGGAAAGAGGGACGAAGCGGGGGGTGGGGGGGTTAGAGAAAGAGAAAAGCCGGAGAGGGAAAGCAAAGCGCCCCATCCGTGGCTGCCCAGGCTCAGAACAGCGGCGGTGGCGGCGGCGGCGTTAGCGGGACCGAGGCGGGCCAGGCAACTCACCGCCTCATCGTGCCCGCTTCCCGGGCGTCCAGGCAGGGCGGACTCGGCTCCGCGCCCGGGGCACCCAGGAGGCCTGGCCTGGGCGGGCGGGGGCGCTTTCCGCTCCCGGCGTCTCCGTGGCCTAGAGGTGGCGGCGGGCGGAGGCGCGGGCAGCCGAGCTCAGCCTCAGCGGCCAAAGCCGTCCGGGCGATTCTTTCCCTTCGTCGCGGCTGCTCCTGTTTCTCTGACAGGCGCCCTTCCAGGGTTCCGTCGGGGGCTCCGGCTAGGAAGAAGCCGAAGACGGCGAGCGGAGACGTTTGAAGCAGGTCGGTTTGGCTTTGCGGGCAACTTGAAGTGATTCTTGGCTCCTTTCTAGTTCCGGAACTCCAACGCACCTTTTCGTCACTGTGTTCCTTCTTTGCCCTTCCCGGCTCCCGGTGTTTGTCCGAGGTTATCGTCCGAGCAGCCCTTCCCCGGGAGAAATGTCGCAAGGCGGCTCCCCTCCCCAAGGTCGCGAGTGGGTTTTCTTGTCCGTTTCATTCCGGGCGCGCCCGCGGGAGTAAAGGAAACCCCGGTTGGAGCGAACCTCGCAGATGTTCTTGCCCAGGTTTTCCTCTCCCGGCCCCCGGCATCGCTCCTTCCTTCACTGCTGGGCACAGTAGTCTCTTCTGGGCACAGACATCTCGAAAACAGACCCTTTATCTACCAGCATAAGAAATCATAACGAATGTAGTTTTTTTAAAAAAGGATCGGGCGTAGTGTTCAACGTCCCTTTATTTATTGAACTTGAAAAATAATACTGCAATAATACTTTCTCGATAGTTTTGGCAATCTTCCTGGCGGGAATCCTATACTGTATTCCGGATTTTAGGTGTGCAAATTATTTTATTTGGTTTGAATAGCGTTAGTTGTTTTTGAAGCAGCGTTCACAATTCGATCAGAGGTAAAGAGGTTTTAAAATTCCGTGATCTCAGTTCGATTTCTATTTGCGCTAAATTGGTAAGAAGACATAGCGCCGAACTTTCTTTGGGTATTATTATTATTATTACCCTTGTTCCTTTTCTGTCATTGATTACTTCAAGTCTGCAAGATATTTTGAGATTTAAAAAATTGCTTGTCTTTCCTGTTTATCTTAGTTAAAAGGAGACCCGTCTATTGAGCTCCTGTCCATTTGTTTTTTTTTTCCTAAGAGAATGAAGGGGATTTCTCAGAGAAAATCTGCCGGGGCCTCATAGTATATTCTTTGGTTCAAAAAGAACAGAATTCTGGTTTTCAAAAGGAGTTGTGAAAAGATTAGAAACATTAAAAAAACAGGAGGAGAGATTACAAATATAGGCCTCCATTTTTTTATATTGCCCCTTTCAGAATGGGTGAATGTACTATGCCGTTTTATTATTATTATTATTCTATCATGTCCTTTCTTATTCTGTTGTGATTATTTTAAAACAGTATTGCGAAGTAATATATTATTTTAACCTGAGCAGGTAAAAATTGCCGGAGGGAAACAGTAGATCTGTTTCAACTATTTATTACAATCAGTTATTTCTTCTTGAAATAGTTTCAAATATTAACACAGTTTTCTCTTATTTCTCTTCAAATCTGCTTTGAAACTACATTAGTAAAATGGTTGCACACCTTCGTGTAAATATTTCTAGAAAATGATGGGTGGAAATAATGCTTTTGGGTGTAATTCGGGTATCTTTATGCTACTTTGATTTTACTTTTAAAATTATTAATTCTTCTTCTCTATTTACTTATAACAAAGAGATAATGAAATTAGTGTTAAGAGTTCATATTTGCATTCCTTAGATCTATATTTTGAATTAATTGAATCCATTATCCAGTAGAAATCACTTTCAAGTCCATTAATTTTGATGGGAAGATTAATACATATTAGGTAGGAAGTAGGTAAACGGTTGTGTAACTTAAAACCTGATCATCCTTTGGTGGATTGTGCCCGTATTCCAGGAGTAGTAACTACTTTATTGATATGTATGAAAGGTGCAAATGCTGTCTAGATACAACTATTCTGTTTTATAAAGTAGTATTTTACAAATGCTTTTCCAACTTCTCTTGAGCGATTGCTTTATAGGCATTTATGAGCCATTTAAGATTTGCTTGCTTATCATCAAATAATTTCACTGGGATATAAAAATAGACATATTTTCTCAAGTACATTAGTAATTGATATCAAGATGATTTTAAGGGATTTGGGTTAGGTGATATTTCACTGGAAATAAATTAAAACCTGCAGGGGAGGGGACACTAGCTTTTTCTAGTTTTGTCCTAGATGTCTTTCAACAGTTTTCTTTTACACTTCTTTTACATTTTGATTCTTTCTTTCTTTCTTTCTTTCTTTCTTTCTTTCTTTCTTTCTTTCTTTCTTTCTATGATTCTTTCTCCCTCCCTCCCTCCCTCCCTCCCTGTATATGACAGAATCTGATGAATATGGTTTTGCTTGAGGCATTGAAGAGTGGGATGGGATGGAAAAGGATGGGAGAGAGGGAAGAGAAGGAGGCAGTCTGAATTCACACTTAAAAATCCATAGCTGAAATACAGCTCTGCCCACATTTCACTTTTAGAAAAAGCGCCAAGCTCCTGTTGCATATTTGAGAGAAACAGTGAGAGAGGTTGGTAAGCCTGTTCTTCAAAACAGATCCCTTTCCATGGTAAAAATAGTGAGTCCTGCAGGTTGTGGTCTTAGGCCTGCTTCCCAGGGAGTAAGACTCATTAAATGCAGCAGGATCACCCTCAGTCTAGGCCTGCACAGGATAGCCCTATGAACAGAAAAGGGTGATTCTTTGTAGAGCGAAGCAACCCTTCGTCTCCTCTGCAATCCTTTATGGAGAGCACCCCTTCCCCCACACAAATGCTCCTGATGGTGAAAGAGTGTCCTCAACTTTAATGCTCTGTTCTTTGCTGTGAAATAGCTTCGCTTTCTAGGCAGTCTTGTCAGCTCAGGTTGTGTAATCTGTTCTTGTCTGCTGGGGTCTAGAAGACGATGGGGAAAGGAAAGATTTGGGGAAGGATGACAATATGCACTGGTTGGATATGATGCAACCTGGGGTCTCCAGAAGCATAGGTTTTAGTAGTTTAACTGGAACGTGCATTGGTGCATGTAGGAGACTGCTAGCCCCTGAATCTCACTCTGGCTTCCCTTGTTTGGTGAGTAGGAATTTTGTCCAAATCTACAATGTATGCATAGCTCAATCAGTTTCTTGATCATAGATCCTTTTTCAAAACCACGAGTTTGTCTTATAAAAAGGAAGTAATGAACAGAAATGTAACTTCTGAGACTCTTTGGCACTGAATGGCCAAAGTCTGTCTATACACATTTGATTTATAGGTCACCTGGTAGACATATTCCAGGTACATTTGAGTTTTTCTCTTGCACTTTCTCTCTCATTGGTTTGATCTCAAAACCATATTATATATGGATTGGCATAAGACCACACTAAAGCAGGATTAAGCATTTTATGATGTAGTGTGTTGTCAGAACTCAGCTGTTGTTTTAGCATGGTTATATAAAACAGGCAATTATATTAAGCAAATATTTGTTTTAGCATAGTATATATGTGAGCACACACATTTTGTTTTGTTAACCTGTATACTATATATTGTGTGAATGCAATCCATAAGGAACAATTTGTTTGCTTTAAAGTAGTATTTTAAAAATGGTTAAACTGGCTATAGCTGTTTGAAACTGCTATAGTTTTATATAAAACTGTCACACACTAGAGTAATTAGAAAACAGATCACAAATAGACTTTTATGGCTGATCAGGATGATGAGAATTGCACTTCGATACCTCCAGAGGACATACATTTTTTTGGGGGGGGGGGGGGATAGGATTTAAGTTAAGAATAGGCTTGAGATCTAATAGTTGTGTATTCACTAAGATTAGGGAGAAATTTTTAATATCCCTATAATGGCAGCTCTGATGGAAGGAAAACGTTGCCATTTTTTGTCCTATTTAGAAAATTCCACTTGGTGACAGTGGTATGTGTGAGTCTGTGTGTCTGTGTATACACGTGCATGCAATTAATGTATCCTTAAATGCAGACCAAGCCAATGCTTGCAAACAACACTCAATTCTTTCTATTCTTCATCATTTACTTAGAGTAGCCAGAGATCATTAAGTGCTAGGCAACAGTGTAGTCAACCATCATGGCCATATAGATTGTATGTCAGGAATGTTCTTGCCAAAATGCTAAATGCTAAAGTTTTGGGGATGTGCAGCTAAATGTATATTCAGCAAAGCATTTTTGTATTTTGTTAAACTAGGCCAGCCGCAATTTATGTTGGGGCATAAAAGTTTTCAAATAATTTATCAGGACAACTGGAAGGGCAAGTCTTGTTCTCATCTGGAAATGAACAAGCTCACTTTGTTCCTGCATGAACAGAAGTAAGAACAGCCTTCTCCAACCTGATGCTCTCTAGATATGAATATTGTTAATTGAATATTTGTTTAGTTGAAGTCCAACATATCTAGCAAGTTTCAAATTGGGAAAGGCTGTGCTGAAAGGCTACATTTCCTTCTGTTTTTGCAGGTGCAAACATTTCTTCCTATTCTGATATGTTTAGCTGTTTATGAATTCATTGGTGAAAACTTTTCATTGATATGTGTGTGTGTGAAAATTAATGCTGCTATGTGAATCCAGATCATGGTCAGTCTTAGTCCACTGGAACCTATATTTATGGTGTAAATTCCTGTATTTTGAATCTCTGATATATTTTCAAATTTTGAACTAAAAATATTTTTGAAGAAGGAAGCTCTACTGACCAATCATTTGTAGAATTTATTTCCATTATACTGACCTCCAGAAAGCATTGGGCTTCTGTGAATGTTTTTTATTCATGTAACCTAGGATTTTTGGGAGTTGTATTCCAACAAATCTGGAAGGCATCAAATGGGAAAAAACCCTAACAGTAGTATACACCTGACTTCACCATTACTCATCCCTATGCCCAACTTTTTTCATTTTCCTGCATGAATAAGATGTTACTATCACTCTTGCCTTTTGATTTTCTCTCCCTCCCTCTCTGCTTAGCAGGTAGAAAAATTGACCTTAGCTTAGAAGCTAATAAGGATTGGAGCTGATTAACTGCATGATTATGTCCGTGTAATCACTAAGATCTCAGCTCCTTTAAAATTCTGCTTCACATTTCCTGAATTCAGATACTGATTTTGAATCTCCTAATGTGATTTAATTAAATAATAGCCTTGAATTTAACTAAAACAAAAGGAGTAAGTTATCTGAAGGAAAAGGATTGATTTCAGAAGAGGCGTTTGGTTAAGGAATACAGATAGTCTCAGTTCATCTAGTAAAGTGTTCAAAGTTACAACGACATTGAAAAAAGTGACTTATGACTATTGCAGTTTGGCAGCTGACTCATATTTATGATGGTTGCAGCATCCCAGAGTCATGTGATCACCTTTTGTGACCTTCTGACAAGCAAAGTCAATGGGGAAGCCAGATTCACTTTGTTGCTAACTTAACAATTGCAGTAATTCATTTAACAGCTGGGGGAAGGAAGGTTGTAAAATGGGGCAAAATTCACTTAAGAAATGTCTCACTTAACAACAGAAATTTTGGGTTCAATTGTGGTTGAAAGGGAAGACTACCTGTATCTATTTTAAACATTGGTCTTCCCTAACCTTACTGAAAATACTTTTAATGGGGAGGTCTTTCTGCTTTCTGACTGCCTTTTCTCTTCTTCATTCTGTATACAATCTTATTTTATTTTTACCTCTGTTGTAGGTGTGAGCTGTGTGAAGATTCTACCATCCCTGATGACTCAAATAAGTCAGGAAACATCTAAAGTGGAACACAGGCAGTTCTGTTAGGGATTTTCTGGATTGGAAACCCCCTCGCTGGATCTGAGTTGAACTGCATGGTCCATCCTGCCCTTTGTGGAGGAAGGTGCCTTCATACTTGTCTTCAAACCTGGATCTCTGGAGATAACTTGTCTGTGTGATTGGGTTGCAAATCAAAGCCCAGTCTGCACCTTCAGAGATGTACCAGAGCTTAGCCATGGCAGCCAACCATGGCCCACCAGCATATGAAGGGACCAGTAGTTTTATGCACACCGCAGCTGCTGCTTCTCCTGTCTACATACCCACCACAAGGGTCACTACTATGATTCCCAGCCTGCCTTACCTCCAAGGGAGTGGTTCATCCCAGCAAGGCAGTCCAGTCTCCAGCCACTCCATTTGGACTCAGCCTGGAGCTGAGAGTGTTGCTTACAACCCTGGATCTTCTCATCCATCAGTATCCCCAAGGTTCTCCTTTGCTACCAGCACCCCCATCCCAGCAACTACTTCCAGAGAAGCATCTGCTTATAACAGTTCTCTTAGTATCTCGGCCAACAGCAGGGACCAATATGCTCGGAGTTTCAGTGGGTCCTATTCCAGTCCATATCCAGCAAGTTATATGACCCCAGAATTGGGCACCAGCTGGACTTCATCTCCATTTGATAGCCCCATGCTCCACAACCTTCAGAATCGGGGTACTCCAGGAGTTTCAAGGCATACTAACATAGGTAAGAATGAATCTTCTAAACTTTATTATGCCAAGAAAGGTAATATTATTTTCAGTCTGGGATGGATTGCATGATATTGATTAAATTTTAAAAGATAAAGAAAATGCTGGGCTGCTCATCAGTAAATTTAACAGTTGTATAGGTAATTATCAATAAAATGCATTTTTCACATTTTGTCAGTGAGGTAGTCTTTTGAGGATCCCTTTTTTCAGAAATTTCATGTGACAAGTCTTTTACTTCCTTCAGTGAGAATTAATTTAGCAGCTATCATAAACAAAATAACTCAGGGAGATAGTATCTACAATTTCTTCATCAGCTTTAGGAGACAGCAATATTGGTCCCAATAACATAAATATTAAATGTGTCTTTTAAAGGGAGACAAGTCCAAGAATCAACAGTATTGTGATGGAGCTGTATTTTAAAAAGTGCACCTGAGATTAATGACAGGGAAATTCTGTAACTTCCAATTCCACATAGTTCTTGTTTTTACCCTATTTATAATTTACTGCACTGGTATGTGACCTGCTTCCTATTAGCTTTATTCCTTTGCAATTGCAGTTCTGTCACATTAGGACTGGGAGGAAGTCCTTATGAATACATTGGGAATTGTTTCTGGTTATGTCTTCTTGTCCCCATGATCTTCCTCCATCCTATAATTCTGAACTGAAAAAGATCTGCTATTTACTTAGCTTAGGGTACAAGCAGCAAAAGTGTGGTGGCTTTGTTTATTACTTTGTATCATTTGATGCCAAAGGAAGGTGTTGGCTAACCTTTGAGGTCTTTGCAACATTAAGCAATTTTTAATCTACTATTAAAAATTGTATTGCATAAAAATCTTAACTTTAAAGCTTTAGTTCGTGTGGATTAAACAATTAAGGCTCAAAGTACTAACCTATACAGTATACTTTGTTAGCAGTACAAAGTTGCCGGTTATTTGGGGGAAGGCATATTCTTTGGGACAGTGTTTCTCAACCTTGGCAACTTTCAGATGTGTAGGCTTCAAATCCCAGAAGTCCCCAGCTAGCCAAGGTTGAGAAACACTATTTTGGAAGATAGGCAGAAGGGCGCTGCCTCTTGGGAGCAAAATTATTCCTAGACCACCCACTGCCTGTTCAGGTGTAAATAGGTTAAAGTGCTTCATGTTTATTTGCCTAGGAATCCTTTTTTTAGAAAAAATAAATAAATTAGAAATTATTATACGTACACATTCAGTAATAAATTTGTAACCTATGGACTGTTAGAAGCACGGCCATTCTAATCTCCCAGTCAGCCAGGCTCTGTGTGTTCCTTTAGCTTTTTTTTTCTTTGATCATCTGTAATGTTGATACCCAATAGTATGTTTTTCTGCCAAAATTTATTCCATTGATGTTTTAAAAACTGAATAGGATGTGTATGAGAATCTTCTTAGAAGAAGCTGGCCACAGGTATAGATATTCTAAGGAAAAATAAATTGAGAGTTTTGAGCAATCCATTACTTGGTATGATGTGCTTAGTATTTTGCAAGGGTGTGTGTATATATGTGTGTATATGTATATGTATATATATCACAAGATTTTGCCTCTATATATGTATATATATAGGTAATACCTGTGAAATCTTGTTGTAATCTAATTTCAACACTCTTTAGTTATGAGATGAGATTTTACTTTGGTTTCAGTTCAGAGTTATCAAGGTTTGCTTACTGATTAAACACAATTGTAGAGCAGAGGGAGTAAATGTAAATCTGAAATTTAAATTAGCCCATGGACAAGGACCAGGAAGGATATGCAAATTACAACACAGAGTTTTCAAACTGTGTTCTGCAGAAAGAGTAAGGGAGAAAAGGATAGTTCACTCAGATACAACCATGGTTGGCCAAGGAATAGTGGAAAAGGTGGGGCTTCTCGTCTGACATTCAAAACACTCACACAGTGTCACGTCACTCTGTGTGAGCCTGAGAGACAAACAGTGGCAGGGTGAAAATGATTACCACAGTTTTTCCCTGAGAAAATGCCTCAGCCATGCAGCTCTGGCCATCTTTTGGTGAATGCATAGGCTGCTTTCTGCAAAGTCATCCTGTCCCAGCTCTGCTTCCTTTCCCCCTTCCCTGAGAAAGGTGAAATGGAAGTTTTGGGGTGAATCTGTATGATTCAGATAACTTCAGTAAATACATATGTATATCTTGATTAGATTGAGCACAAGTTTGATTCATAAATTTGATTTTTTGATTAATTTGATTAATAAATAATTTTCATTTTATTGCCCATTTTCTGTCACTAGAGGTTTGCCCCTTGATTAGAATTTCAGGAAATTTATTTTTTAATTAACAGGATCCATAGCCTAAAAAATTTGAAAATCTCACAACACTACATAGTAAATTTTAGCATCTTTGTTGTATTTAATTAATATTAGTAGCTTGTTCACACTTTTGCTTTAATAGTGCAATACGGTTATTGTATAAAACACTTAAATCCTCCTGGACTTTCACTTTATAGATTTGCAATTTATTATCACTAAGGCCAAAAAATGAATCAATCATCATACTTTTTCATCTCTTTCCCTCCCTCCCTCTCTTCTGATTCAAGTATTTAGTAATGTTTCTGCTCCTATTCATAGAGAAGATGAGAGAGAGGGAAGTGAGGAGAAAGAAAAAGGAAGTTAGGATTTGTTTGATTAGGTTACCGTCCTATAAGGTAGAATTTCCCAGCCTTTCAGATGCATTGGACTTTGAATCCCATAATCCTCTTCCAACCTGTGGGCAGCAGAATGAGAAAGGCTTCTAGAAATATTTTCTTGTGATGATGCAGTCAATTTTCCTATTAGTTTCTTTTCTTCTGCTTTTCTTTTAAGAAGGTCAGGAGACAAGATAATTAACTGCCTTTCTGCTTTTTCAAAACATTATAATAACCCTAAGAGGTTGGTTAGAATAATTGGCTGTGGAATTCTGGGAGTTGAAGTCCACACGCCTTTAAATTGTCAAGGTTGAGAAACACTGGGTTAGATTGAAACAGAAATGGCTAAGGGTGGTTCAAGGTTAACCAAAGTTACTCATCATAAGGTGGAAAGTTGAATTTTAATTTCCTGAAATTGGCCTGTTATTCTGACCAGTAGATCACACTGGAATTTGATGTGAGTTCAGTTCAGCCATCCTTTGATGGATAGTTTTATGTACCTCTAAATCAATTTGCCTCAGTGATTTTTTTTTTCCATCCAGGCCCTCCTCTGGAAATGGAACAAAATTAAGGATCTAAAATTGGGACAAGATTATTATTGATTGGAGGCAATAATTCTAAAGGGTGGAGAGGAGTGAAAAATTGAGCTCTCATTTTCCTTGAGATTCTTTTGATCTTTACATAAGTCTGTTTTTACATGAATAAACAAATTGCATTAAACTTCTATTACATTTACCTTATCTTTTAAAAGATTTGATTCATTTAATTAAATTAATTTTCCTAAATATTTTAATTTTATTTTTCACCAGGAACAGGAATTAGAATGATTTATAGAATAGGTCAATATAAAATTGTATTTTTGAAATAAATACAGAAACAATCTGGCAGCTTAGTAAAACTCAGTATAAAGAAGCATAGATTGTCAGCAATTAAACCATACTGAAAGTTGCTTAAATCTACATGCTGGCATGCCTACTGGGGCAAGAAAAGATAATGTTGATAGGTGCCAAATGGACATCACAGTTGGCCTTTAAGGTGAACCCTTTGAAAGTACACATGCTGTAACTTGGGAAGGAGGGGGCAGGTCAGGGCTGGGTTTTCTTTGAATCTTCTCTCTCAATTAAATTTTTAGATAGTGGATTGGAGATTTTTACAGTTGTCTCTGAGTGAGACTAAACTACAATTTCAGCTTTTGGTCAGGTCGGTGTTATAAATGGTCTTTTAGAGATCAGAGCAGCACAATATTAGGTAGTGGGGAACATAAACATTGGGGGGGATGTATAATTAGTTCATTCCCTAATTAAGAAGCATCTGGTTGGCTTTCCCGGGGACAGGATGATGGTTTAGATAGGTCTTTGATTTGATCTAATATGCTGTTCTTTGTGTTCAGCGATTCTTGCCCAAAACTGCTGAAAGTGTTGAACTTAGATGAGTAGAAATCAAGGACTGCATTTAATGCAATGAAATTAAGTTCTGATGAGATTTGAGTTCAGAAACAACTGCAATAGGAAGAATCAATTAAGTTTTTCAATGGAAGATTTTCAAGAAATACTACAATTATAGGCTAAGTTGGAAAGTGAAAAAAAAAACATAAGACAAATCATTTCTATATTGCTACTAAGTAAACTACATAGCTGTGTCCACAAAATCACCAGGAATTGAACTTAATTTGAAAGAGATTTTTATTCCTTTTCACCTTACTATTGGTGTTCCTTGGTCTGTCTCTAATCAGTAGGCAATATCTGTGACTTTGTACTTTGCTGTGTGATATAGTAGGTCAAATTTTCCATTCACACCCAGCCAGGGACCTCTGAAAAAGAAAATTGTCTTTTTTTGTGACTGGGGCACTATATTGGTCTTCAAATGAGGCTGAGCTTTGCAAAAGTTACACACGTGTGTTTGTTTTTGCAAGCTGAGAAGAATAGGGAAATTTCTGTGGAAAAGCTTCCTTTTCTTCCTCACTTACACATATTTAAATGAAACACCAGGAGCCCCTGGGCAGGCAGGCAGAGGTGTAAATAAGATCATAGGCTTTTCTTCAGTAAGGATTTAAGGGGAAGAGAATAAAGATTAGGGGTTTGCTTTGTTTTTTGTATGGGAAGATTTAAATAGAATTTTGCAATTTTATGAATTATTTGCATTTTAAGAGATTTATCAGTGACAATGAGAACTTCATCTTGGATAGAATTTGGTCTCTCTCTCCACTTCATTATTAAGTCAGATTAAATTTGACATTATCTTTGTCAGATTTTTTAAAATAAGAATGAATCAGAATGTTAAGCTTCAGTTTCTATTAGTAGCACAATCTAAATCAGACCTGGGCATTTTAGGGTCTGTGGATCACTTCCA